GCAAAGATCAAGTGTTAATAAAATTCTTTCGATAAATAAAAACTTTAAACCTAAATAAAATACATACTCACCAAATCGTATTTACGCCTCTATTCAAGCCTTGAAATTGACGTAGCGTGAGAATTCTGGTCTTCTAGCGACAGACTTGCCGTTTTCAAACCCAACACTACTTAAGGCATCTAGGAATAAGCGGAGGTAAAAGTTGTATTTCTGATAAATCTATACATGAAATTACATAATTTAATCCCAATATCCAATCTTTAAATTTTAATAATTGCACAAAGCTTACTGATGCCACAATCTATGCTTTTGTAGATTCGTACCTGGATCTAAGAAAATTAGATCTTAGAGATTGCAATAAAGTAACTAATATAAGTATCAGACAAATCGCACAATATCTTAATCTGGAACATCTTGCACTCAATTCCCTAGGATTTATTAATGATGAAACGATATATATTGTTGTGCGATTATGTCCAAATATTTCTTATTTCAACCCCGAATTCTGCAATGTTACAGATATGGTGGTAGAAGCAATAGCACAATCATGTCATAATATAGAATATCTCAATCTTTACGGATCAGTATCTATTACCGATAAGTCTATTTCTAAATTGGCAAAAATGTGTTTTAAGATTCAGAAGCTTGAATTAGGATTTTGTGAACTTATAACTGATATAGCCATTAAAGATATTACTCAGCATTTATCCAATCTAAAATATCTCGGGTTAAAAAATTGTGTAAATATCAGCAAAGAGGCATTAGATATGTTAGACCCAGATTTAGATATAGGTGGATATTATATGATCCCATTCACTTTATAATCAGCATAATCTGATATGTAAGTTATGAACTTTTTCTCAATTTGTACTCTATATCATTTTCTATGGAATGAACTAATTTCCAAATATTATTGAGGTGCATTTTGATTGAAAGCTTTTACTGAGATTTTTCCTTCTACGAGTATTTCTATAAAAACCATGTCAAATATTATTTAATGATGTATATTATCAGGAAAAAATAACTAAGTTCAGGTAATTAATTTTAGGCAGATATACTATGTGTTTTCCGGATATTCTCAATTACATTTAATCTCGCAACTAGTCCTATTGAGTAATGTGAGAGTTTTATTTGGGAAGTCTACTTTCATTGCATTATCTTTAAACTATAAGTTCTCTAATATCAGTATATGTTCAGAAATACTAACAACAAAAATATCAGTAACTTTTACTTGTTTCCATTTAGAGCCCTGAAACAGGATTGAAATAGAAATTTCATGAATTACTCCTACTACATCGAGTTTGCCAATGAGTGTATATATTTCCATATCAAAGATATTATTGATTTTTAAATCTAATTCATTTACTATCTCCTCGGCTATAATATTACAATTAGCACCGAAATCTAATATGGCTATAACAGGTACTTTATTGATTTTGCAGGATAAAGTTGTTATTGTGATGTTTTACTATAATTAATATTTAATTTCGTATTTTTAAATTCATATTAATAAAATAATTTAACATTTACAATGATTGAAGCTAATAGCAATATTGAACTGGCTCATCAGAATTTACAAGAGAACGATAATAAAATTGCATCGCTAATAGAATCAATAAAAAAATTATCAATATCAGTCAATGGTAGGGATACAGAAGTAGTTTGTGATTCAAATTTAGAATGTCCAATTATTACTTATGAGATTGCAAAAAAATTGGGTTTGGAAAACATGTTATCTGATATTGTTAAGCAAGTATCAGGTAAAAAAATCTGAATCTCTCTTCACCAATTACTGGTGATAATGAAACCTGAGATTCAGCAAGATATTATAAACTTGATAGCAAATCGGATATTTCTCGAAGAAATCATACATTATGTAAGAAAATTTTAAGGGGCAAAGTAGGAAAAAAACTAATTTTTAATGATACCGTATCCGAATCCTTATCTTCATCCGAATCTGAGTCTGACTCTGAATCATCTAATAATAATAAAAATTTTACTATGGATATGGTAAAAGTAAAGAAGCGTGATTATTCTTGATCATAGATTCGGAAAGGTCTTGCTTGATCTGGGGACTGATCTTTTTTTCTGTAATTGACTATAACGTAATTCTGAATCGAAGAAGTGTAGTTATCTGGGCTATGCCGTAAACATTGACTAGTGATTATATAAGCATGGGCCATATTCTTAGCCTCATGTGCCACTACACTATAAATGGCATCTATTTTTTGTAAGTATTTAGGAATTAGATCATAATTTTTTAAGAATCTATTGAACCATTTAACTCCTGACTTGTCTGGATCACCCATTCGACCGGAAGATATAGCATTCTGAATCCAGTTAAGTAATTCTCTGGCATGCTCTTGATTCTTTTTCATAGATCTAAATTTCCTAGGAATATCTGGTTGACCCCAATTCTTCACATATCCTATTACTTTAGCATCTGTAATACACAAAGTTGTAAGTTCAGCAGGACGAATACAAAGCATCACCATAACATCTGCGAGAGCTTGTAAGTCGAGTAAAGTAGATACATCATAACTATTCAATCTTTCTCTGACCGATTCTAACGTAAAATAATCTGGATAGTCAATATGATTAGCTTCAGCCTTTTTCTGATTATTCCTCTGGATTTTGTTGCTTCTTTTGTAATATCTGGAAATTTCGTGGCCTCAACTATTGCAGATAAAACGTCAAGACTTTTTAATTCTCTTTGGAGTTGGGAAAGACGTGATGAATCAGCATTGGCATTTTTTGCTGATAGGGCTAAGGCATAAGCTTCAGCTCTTATATCCCAAATACTAAGTTTATCTCGTAAAAGCCGATGTGCTATCTCTACAATTGTTTCTTGTAGAACCTGATTAGAAATAACAATGTTTATTGTGGAACAGGGCATTCTGTGCGTGATTTTACTTTCAGATTAGACATTTTTTTGAATAGAGAATAAGTCATTCACTTGGCCTTCACTAAACCATATCTATTCTATAAGATTTGTTTAGTTATCTCTCTGATAATCTCTTCTTCCGAACTTTTTGGAAGCTTGGTTATAGCTATTCTACAATTACCTTCAACTAAATTTATAGTTTTATTTTTTCCACCTTTCTGATTAGGTATTAATACACCTACCTGTTTACTGCTAAATTTGAAACCATCCCGAAGATGTCATCGACCTTGATTCCGCTTTCTATCATTGGTAAGGTTTTCAAGAAATTCTGAAGTATATTTACTGAGGTCAAATACACTCGTCTTGGAGCTAAGATTGTATTTTTCAACAATTTTAGTTATGATAGCTGACATGATTGAATGTTATAGTAGGTCAAGTAGGTTATATTCACTATAGAAAATATTTTTTCAAATTGAAATTAATTATGCTTTTTTTTTCCATACCCAGAAAAAAAGAGTTTATGTATACCTATAGAGTAACCAGGATATTGATTTGAAATTTACTAATATATAGAATATGACGGAAAAAATTTATACCCTTGGAGTTGTGGTTCAGGCTAAATTAAGATTTACAATTTATTTTTATTTTTTATAATGCTTGGAATAGATTTTGGTATTTTTCTATACTTATGGACCATTTCTTGTAAATATCAGGTCTATTTTCCATTATATCAATTGGTAGTATCATAGCTGGATGGGACAGAACATTCATGAATCTAATTTGCTCAAAATAATAATAATCCATAATATCCGGTAATTGTAGAAATTCTGCTAAATCTTTTATGTACTTAAAACATTGCATATTAGTTTGCAGAATGTTGGCTCATTGTAATCGATCTCTCTTTTGGTTAATAAGTTGACTACTTTCTGGGGTGTTTCCATTGGGTATGAGGTATGTATAGTGTCAATATATATTCGATTATATTATTACAAAATAATTTGGAAAAGTTTAAATTGATTTTATATTAAATATATTCATATAAAAAGTGAAACAGGCTTTATACGTTATATATTAAATTACTTTGAATGGGGTATCTAATCAATCAATATGTTAAAGAAGACGATTCGGAGTGTTTAACATATCAATATGTTAAAAGTGATAGTCCGGGGTATTCAACCTGCCCATATGTTAAAAGAGATGGTTTGATTTGTGGAAAAGGTTGTTGGCAGGATATAGGGTGTTCGTTGCACTAGAAATTATATGATACGAATATAGCAAAATTTCTTTGTGGGATCTGTGGAAAACTAACAATTTCTGGGATGGGATATTGTCCTAAGCATATAAGGAGAGTTTATTTTTGAAATTGGTATGAGAGACAAAAGGCACAAAGAATAGAAGCTGATATATAATTATACTCACTTTTTGCTGAAGGTAGTCACTATATAACTATAGATATTAGTTTTAAATGTCACAAAAATGGTCTTTGTAATGGATTTTTTTACAAGTATCATTTTTAAGCGCCACAAAAACCCCTTTGTAAAATATACCACGGACTCTAAATACTTATTTTAAATGATATCGAATAAGTCCTGAGTATTTTGTGGGATACAATTAGAAGGTGGTTCTAATTCATCAGGTGAGAGCTTACTATACCCGTATCGTATATCCTCACTATTCTTGTAAAAAGATCCTTCAACTGTCTGATATGCTGGTAATTTTGGGGCATCTTCACTATTGAATAGTTCAACTAGATAATAATATCTAAAATTTTTATCTATAGCCTTAAATTTTATTCTATAAGTTGTAAAAAGTGCCGAGTTCAGCAATCCTAATTTTGATTTTATTGATTTTAAGCTAAATTTTTTAGTACTACGAGATGCATCTGTATTATCAAAAACTCATGCCATTTTAGGGACCATTTCTTTAAGATATTTTATAGATTTAGGTGATTCTAAACGTGCTTTAACAATATTGGCTTTATATCTATCTCAATCATCAATATCTTTAACTAGTGTGCAAGTCTCTAGTAGTTCCAGGCAAATTCGATGCTTCTCAGCTTGAGTAATAGTTGTAAGCCTATTATTTCTATAATCTTCATGGGTGACGGCCTCAACTGCTGTTTTGTTATCAGTACCAGCATCTCATAATTTTCAGAGATTTCTAAACCATTTTATATAATCATATTTACTATAATCTGTAATAAATTCTTCAGTTATAAATTCAGGTAATACTTCATAGCAATCTGTAATATGGTATTGGCTTAATGCATACATTTCTTCTAAAGTTTTCTTTGACTTGTTTTCTAGATGTTCGGCCATCTCATGATTGAGAATATTTGCGTTAGCAATGTCTGAAATTTCCTCTGCTTTAATAACCGAAAAATACCTCTTTACTGTTTCAGTTAATGTCACGGTATCATTTTTAGCTTTTGGAGTAGCTTTTATTATAGAAACTACCATACCTGCCTTTTTAAGAAAATTTACCATTCTCCACCCAAATAAATGACAAGATTAGAATTTTTTCAACATATATACCACCTATAATTGAATTGTTGGAATGTCCTTATTTTGAATGATAGATTCTACATCTGAGAATATTCCTCTATTCTGAAGCTCCAGAGGTAGAGATTCTCATTTTGCTTTTAATAACCAATTAAATAACTCTTCTTTTATAATGGGAACATTAAATGCTCTTTGCTCAATATAACATACATAATTCTTAATACATCTTATATGAAATGGCATTTGATTTGTTCCAGCATTTGTTTCGATATAGCTGTTGAAAGTACAGAATACCTGCTCAAACTTGTGGTTAGTACAGAAAACGTCTATTTTTAATGTGCTAGTATATACAATGAGGTCTACCTTTTTCCACGTTTTATCAACATTACCAAAATCTTGAGCTTTTTCAGCTGGATCAGACTTACCATGATAATTCTTAATACATAATTCGGGAAAATTGGTTCCAAGAGCATAAACAATTCCTTGTATATCCTTTCTGAGATGATAGATAAGAGATGCACTTTTTCATTCATAGGAGGTAATGAAGACATTTGCTTAGCCCATTCCCAGAGTTTGGCTAATACAGTTTCTTTATTAGGAGTCAAGCGAAATGCTTTACCTTTTTGGGGTTGATAAGTATTATGGATAACTGAGAAGAGTTTATTTCTGCGAAGGTTTTTTATCTATTCGATATTAAGGTCTGTAAGATCATTATTCATAATAATAATTCACTTTGCCTCTTAAATTAATTTATATAAATTCTCTCTTGATCACCCTGCTAAACGAGTATGGGCTGATTATTCACAGATACTACCTCATTTAGGATATTTATATTTTTTCTCACATTTGCATTTGTTAATAATATAATGCAAACTTTCTATCTAACAAAATACTCTTTGATGGTCCTGGAGATTTATATTTTTGGTATCAATACCACAGTATGATTTGAGATTTAGCCTTGTAGTGATAGCACTAGAATAGGTATATCATGTAGATAAAGCAAGCAAATTTATACCATCAGGAATAGTAAGGTGTTCTAACATATAAGTTTTTTCTGTCTCCCAAGGTGATTCTACATATACATCACCCTCCTCGGGTAAAGGTTTTATATATTGCTCCTCATATACTTCTGTTGCAATAAGAAAGGAATCACAATTAACCCAAGCTGGCATTTCTAAGAAAGGCCATAGAAATTTTGGACCCTTCACCTTACATATAACAGGTGGTGGAATATTATTTCTATTTTTTTTCTAGATTTTTTCTGCAATAAATGGGTCATTGAAAATTTTCCCTGATTCGTCATGATTTTGCTAGAAACATTTCACAATGAATGAACCATTACCATATGCACGACCAAACTACTGCTGATTCTTGTTGTGTATGCGATTGCATAGTGGACATTCTAGATATGTTTTTCGATTAAAATATATGAAATATTGGGAATCCTTTTCTTCGATATCCCAACCACCAAGATAATCAGGATACTTCTGTAAAACTAGATTTGTGTATTTTTTTAACACATCTTGACCCACAATTATTTTTTTCTGATTATTTATTTTTTCTATACTAAGTATATGGGGTCTTATTTCATATCTCGAACTAAAAGGTGGTTGAACTCTGGCGTATTATTCGCTATAAATTATGACAATAAATACAAAATTAATAGCAAAGAATTTATATGCATGAATTCGAATAACTATTATATATAAAGAATTTATGTAAAAAACTATTATATATAAAGAATTCATGCACATGAATTCGAAAAACTATTGTATATAAAGAATTTATGCACATGAATTCGAAGAACTATCATGTATAAAGAATTTATGCACATGAATTCGAAGAACCATTGTGTATAAAGAATTCATACATATGAATTCGAAGAACTATGGTAAATAAAAATTCATGCACATGAATTCAAAGAATGTATATTTTACTTGTAAATATATTAATTAATCAATGTAAAAAAAAAAATATTATATATTAACACAGTTTTGTATTGATACTACTACAATTACAACTTTAACTGAATTGTTTACCTGAAAAATGTACAATGATCAAATGTTTGAAGAAGAAATTGATAGCGAGGACAATTTTCTACCTGAATTTGAAAATACCTATGATTTTGATAAATATTACAGTTTAAATACTGATAATTTAGATAATAACAATTCGGATATTGATGATGATAACTTAGATGTTAATAATTTAAGCAAAGACGATAATTTAAACGAAAATAATAATAATCTTACTGTTCAATCCTTACCTATTACCACATATTTTCCATTATCTAAAGCTTTTGCAAAAACAAATTCAAATATTATAACTAAAAAA